GACGTTCAAGATTTGTGTAGATTTGAGCAGTCTAGGGTTCAATGTTCAGGATTGGAGTGCAGAGAAGGCCTCCAAACGAATCAGGAGGGCTTGTAACCCGAACAGTAATTAGGCTTGGGCCCGTGCATCGTTAAAAGACAACGACAGAGATTCGGCAGACTTCGAGCGGCAGACACGTCTTGCAGGTCGAACATTGTCCACTGGTCCTTTCGAAGTCCCCGGCCTCCAGGAAAGACTAAGTTAGGCGCGCCCCTAGCAGCGGCCTGAGATCACCGACCTTGCTCACAGAGCGGGATCACCAGAGGTTCGATGCTGTGATATCTTCTGTTCCTCTAGTGAGCCTTCGCAGGTGATTGCAAGGTGGGTGCCATGAGATCATCGGAGTCAAAGCGATGTGACTGAATCGGCATGTCGAAAGCGGCAGCTGTGATCCTCCCTCTAGCGTAAAGGACACTGCTTCCGCAGAATTAGTGAGACCAAACTTCTTCAGGGCCGTCGATGTTGCGCAAGTGAGCTCTCCAGCAAAGCCTCGTGGAAAATATGCGGGCGCAACTTGCAGTGTGTGTCTGTGATCCAAAGGTGGACAGTCAAGGTCAAGGTACAAGGTTTCCAGCAACCCAAACCCACATCAAAAGATAAGATCCGAGACCTTGAAGCTCCCGTCCACCGCTGGAGGTAGCTGGTGCTGCGCTTGTCTGCAAATCTCGACCAGATCCAGTCACGTCAGGCTAAGCTGGAACCACGGAGACCGGCCTATGCTACGTCACCGGTTCATGACAGTTGCCCGCAGACTGGCAGGTTGAGATCTCAGCTTTCACACAGCGAGTTGAAATGGGTGACCTCGCCTAAGGTGAAAACTTCGCCGAACTTAGCAAGCCTCGTTGTGAGACTGCCCTTCATCTGCAGCAGGGCTGGGAGGCCAGGGGAATGGGGGGTACTCGCGAAGGCCCTCTAATCATAATCACCAGACCAGGTACCAGGAATCTCAAGCCCGCCCCAGAAACCCTGCTGCACTAGCTGTTGGGATTGCAATGTTGTCGCCAGGGCACACTTGCACAGGCTGGTGGATGACGGAATTCCTGCGAAATTGACCTGGTTTCTTGAATGGTTCTCAACAGTGGTGAGCACACTCGAGTTCGTTGGCGAAGCACAGTCTCTCTCTCTCTCTCTCTCTCTCTCTCTCACCCTGTCTCCCCTTTGCAAGCTGAACACGCATGCACCAAGCCGAGTGTGGGGACCTCTGAGGGTTACCCATAATTCAGCTACCAAGCGCACAAGCAAAATCTCAGGCTGATCAACTCAGGCCGCCACAACGAAGTGATACATCCGAGACAGATTAGGATCTGATCGGACGACGACATACACACCTTGGCTGCGAGTCCTGAAGTCCACCTCATGCCGAACTAGCTTCTACACTGCTGTTGTCAGAAGTGCATGAACGGGCATCACTTCTCAACGACATTGTCACACAGCATAGCTAGCGAAGGGGCTATACCCCCGCGCATATCTGAAGGGCGTATCAGAACTGAGCATCCGGCCGGGACATTCTGCGCTGTGAGACGAGTGAAACGGGTATGGGATGCTCAGAGCATCCAGAAGGAGACAGGAACGGAGCTGACTTCGTTTTAACAGGGTTTCGGCACTGAGCTACATAGGCTTGGCTACATTGAGACCTGCGCCCAGCCATGTCTGGCACATAGCCATCGCATCATTCTCTGGGGTTCAAGGCAGCTCACCACACCAGATCGACTTTCAGAGACAGGCATGTCTAAAAAGAAGGTCCACCGCTACTATTACTCCTACTCTCCGACTCCTTCTCTTGCTGCTACTACTACTACTACTGCTGCTGCTGCTGCTGCTACTCCTCCTGCCGCTTTTGCTACCACTCCACTACCACTATCACGACCACTACCCCTGCCACTACTACTACTACCACCACCACTACCACTTCCACTACCACTTCCACTTCCACTACCATTACTACTGCTGCTACTACGACTACGACTACGACTGCGACTCCTCCTACCACCGCGATGACTAATACTGCCATCACTACCACTTCCACTACTGCTGCTGCTACTACTACTACTACAACTACTACTACTACTACTACTACTACTACTACTACTACTACTACTACTACTACTACCCCTGGGGCTGCTGTGGTTGTTAACCGTTCGGCGTGCTTGCTGGGACCCCAGGGGCGGCACTAAGGCCGAGGATTGTTTTCAGGCCGAAGAGCATCCAGCAAGCAGGCGTGGGGGTCACAGTAGGGCGACTGTGCCGGCATTTTGGGTCTCTTTGCGGCTGGAGGCTGACGTGTTTCTTGCCGGAGGGTTCCCGGTTCGAACCTGGTGATCTCGCTTCTACACTTGACATGATCTGATGGAACAGCTACCAGTGGATCCTGTTTCACACGTGGAGTGAGCGGTTATGCAAGCGTCAGTCATTGCGGATTGATCGCGGTTCTTGCCTGGTATGGGTGGTTCACGTGACATGA